ATACGACGACAATACATAGTGATATGATATGAAAGGCATGTGGTCCCATTATACTTCTCAAACTTTGAAATTTGGTAGGAGAACTAAATCAGGGACCAAACTCAGCTCTTTGGTGTCAAACCCAAAAAATGACTCAACCGTCTCTCTAGAAGCAGTACAAAATTCATTTGGCTTCAACCCATAAGTAGTAGGACAATCAATGGGGAATGATGTTCTAGCCTGATATTGTGGGTTCTTGATAGAGAAATGAACCGGTGATTGAATTTCTAGGTGTACAGAGGTGTGCTCAGGAATGTAAATAGATGTAACACGCAGAGGATTTGTGGGGTTTTCAACAAGATTCTTTCCAGCGGTCTGGTGCTTCCCAATCATTTCTTTCATGTTGTTCAGTAGATCGATATGATAATTTGTGATATTAGCTTCAATTTGTGCCAACTTGCTCCTCAATTCTTCATGCCTCTCTTTTTGCTCTATCTCAAATTTGGCTAGCCTATCATCAGTTTCTTTAGACATTTTTCTTGTGTCGTGCTAAGCGTTCTTGCTACAAGGAAGAACCAAGATCACTTCGGTTGAAATCCTTATTTTAATGAATAAATGTTTTAATGTATGATGTAAGTTTGAAACTATAGATGTAATTATGCAAGTATGAAAATGTAAATACAAAGATGTGAATGTAGAAATAAAATAAGAATGCAATTTGTGCAATACAAAAGCAAACATAAAAGTAAAATGAAAATGCAAAGATGCAAAATGCAAATGCATTTATGAAAAGGTGTTACTCAAGAGTGATCATCTTAGAAAAAATTTCATTGAACACAAAAGTTTCTGTGCATCAAACAAAACTTTTACATGTAGGGAACAACTTTCAGTCCTATCTTCAATAAAACTTTATATATAGGTGATAACCTTCCCTCCTAACTTCTCTAAAGCCAAGTTAGTCTATCAGCTTATGGGCCATATTGCTTGTCTGGACTGCAGCTTCTTACGTGACATTCTCTTTTTCCTTAATCTTCTGTGTCAATTATCGGAGTTGCTCATTTTTCCTTGTAAGAGAACCTTTGTGCTCAAGAAGTTCTTGGACAAGATATTCATATATGTTGCAATTCTTTTTCAGTTTGGTGACCTCTGTTATCCACTTTTCTGGGGTATTTCCTATGCCAGCATTTTGAAAGGCTTGACTGATCTTCTGGAAATCTTCATGCATGGTTTTCATTTCTATTCTTAATTTCTTATTTTGATCATTCAAATAACATGCTTGAGCTTCATAAAAACCTCTTTTATTCTGAATGCCCTGACTGATGCTCTTACCATAGAATGCTTTTGGTATCAATCTAACAGGATCTTTGTGTGCATAGCTTGTTTCTATCATCGGAGTTTCCTCAGGATATCTTTCCTTGGCTGCTTCATATTTTGTTCGATCATAAAACTTTTTGTCTATTTATGAAGTTTTTCCAATTTGATGAACAGTCTTTCAAGTCGACACCTTTTGGTTATGCCATGATCATGCAATGTAAACAAGTTAGAGCAAAATAACATGCATGGGAAAAATAAGAAATAAAATAAAATGGTTAGTACCAACTAATGGAAAGAAAATATTCTATCTACCATGGTATATATCCTAACCTCATGCTTTCTAGTTCCATACTTTGTTTGGAAAAATTAACCTAACTGCATTATTTCTAGTTCGCATGCATTTATTCAGAAAAAAATGAAATCAAATAAATTAAAAGCTAGAGCTTATTTCTCCTTTGAGTACACCTATTTTGGATAAAATTTCGGCATGGTTTCAGATCGGGAGAGTTTCTAGGGTTGATTATATGTAGAGTTTCAATTTTAAGAGTAAAGGTACTCGAATTGTCCTTGTTGGTGCTCCCTTGGGCTGCCAAACCCACAATCCTAGTCCATTACAGACTTAAGAGGATTAAGTTCAATTCGAAGGGGCACATTTCTCTATGTCTGACACGGAGAATAAATTCTCACGAAGACATAGAGCATATGAATCCCGAAAGTTACTTGCTAGTTCTGACACGGAGAATAAATTCTCACGAAGACGTCGCTTTCACTCCCATTTAAAAGAGACAAGCTTGATTATAAAGCTTATGTTATGCAAATGCAAGTGTTGTGTGTGAGGAGAAATATTCAAACCTTTTGACAAACAAATAAAGAATGAAATTTAATATCTAAAAATAAAATAAAAACATTAATAAATATTATGAAAATCATAAGTAATAAAAAAATTTGAAAGAAAATAATTATAAACTAAATAAATATGAATTTTTAATTTCTAATTGATAGAGACAATTTATAATTAATTTCAAAGCTTGACCAAATCCCCAGCAGAGTCGCCAAGCTGTCGTAACCGGTTTTCGCCCGGGTACGAATTTTTTACTTGGCAGGAAAAATAAAATGAATAAATAAATGATTTTGATTTAAAAAATATTTTGGGAGTCGTCATTGACCTTTTTAGGTTAGGTAGGTCAAATACCTAAAAACAATCTTTTGAAATAGTTTTAAAGAAAACATAATTTAAAAGATAAAATTGATCTGCGTATAACCAAAAGTAAAAAGGATTCGTGGTCGTTTACGTTTAGGGAAGGATTAGCACCCCTATAACGCCCAAAATCGGTACTTATTAATTATAAATTGTCTCTATTATTATAAATTTAAAAATTCAAAGATATGTTTAATTTATAATCATGTTATTTCAAACTTATTATTATAATTTTAAGAAAATATATTAATTTTTATATATGTATATAAATAAGATATTTATTTATTTAAAAATATCAGAAAATGACTTCTAGGTGCTCTAAGACAGCTCTTTTCTTAATATTCAAAAATAAATAAATATTAATAAAAAATTTAAAAAATAAGTAAAAATAGATTAATATATATTTTATAAAAGTAGGATATTTATTTAAAAATATCAAAAAATTGACATCCAGTTATTTTAAGACTGCTCTTTCTTAATATTGGAAAATAAATATTAAAACATGTTTAAAATAATATATATATATATATATATATATTAAAAATAAAATAATATATATTAATAAAAATAAACAAATATTATTAATTTATAAAATTAATCAAATAATATATATTAATAAAAATAAAATAATAATAATTTAAAATATTAAAATATAAAATTAAAATATATTTAAACAATAACTAAAACAATTAAAATTCAAACTATAGTAAAAAATAATAAAACTTGTATCTAACAATAAATGAAAGTATTAAACTTAGTGATTAATTTATAACATATTGAAATTAAAGGATATAATTTGTAAATTTATGAAATATAATAATGAACTGCGTAATTTTACCATAATAATACTACGGGACTAAAATATAATTTACTAAAATTATAAAGGATTAAAATGAGTATTTATCCTAAATATTATAAAAGTATGGTAGTGACTAAATTATAAAATACATAAAATTAAAAGATCGAATTTAAATGATCATAAAATGATTTCAGTGACTAAATCATAAAGATTACAAATTCAGAGCACTAGGAACATGATTTCACCATGCGTGAAATTACATCCAGATCCCTAACCAAAACTACGTCGTTTTGGTTAGGGTATTTAAACCCTTTAAACCGACCCCCTTGGGTCATTTTATTCATTTTTCTTCTTTTTCATTATCTCTCTAAGTGAGAGAGATGAAAAAAACCTCTGCCCTCTCTCTAAATTCATCTCGCCGGAAGGAGTTTCGGCAGCCGCCGGCCACCGTGCTCCGGTGGTGATCGCCGCCACCGGCCACCATTCATGGTGGCCGGAAAATACCAAAATACCCCAAATTGTAGTATCATTTATTCTAAACCCCGTTCCAAGGTTATTTTAACCTAAAACCCCACAGTACGTCTTAGATCTATGATTATTACCTTCGACTTTTCGTTTCTCCGGTGGCAAATGAAAGCTCCAACGACGGTAAGACTTTTTTCCCTCATTTTATTTGTTGTTTTGGCTGTTTAGGTTGTATTTCGTCTTTCTATTTCGCTCGTTTCTGTATGTGTGTTTTTGCTCTCAGTTGGTTGTTGTGTGTCTCCGTTCTTCCTCCCTGTCGATGTCTCCCTTTTGCAGGTTCGGTGGTGGCTTTATAGGCCACCACGATTCTTGTCTTGGATCGGTCGCAAAGGGCGACCCTAGGTGAGTCACCGAAGCTAACGGTGGTGACTCACAATAGGGCCATAACATGTGCTATATCGTGGCAGCTAATGGTGGCTTTGGTGAAGCGTCGGAGCGGCTGGAATGTCGGTAGTGGCCGGTTGGACCACTTGGCAGTGGAGCGGCGGTGGACTTGTCTTTGTTTCAAGACGGTGGCCGCATGATGATAACCTAGGGTTATGAAACCCTAGGGATTCATGATGAACCTTCTGTGAACCATTGGATCTCTCAGATCCAACGGCTGAGATCGTTGGCGGCTGGGGCTAAGATGATGAAACCCTAGTTGGGTTTTAGGGTTACTGTTGGGCTCCGGGTTTGGGTTTGGACCAGATTGGGTCATCTGTTGGGCTTCCAGATCTTGTAAATGGTCTGATTTGTAAATAAAATTATTTAGTAATAATAATTATTATTTATTATAACAATTATAATAATTATAATAATAATAAAAATAAACGGGCAACCATGAACGTTTCGATCACCAATGTATGTAAAGGTTACCTTTAAACATGCAAATCCTGTTCTTAGTCGTGTCACAGAGATAGTATGCTAATATCACAATTCACAACCTTTGCTTCCCTTAGTTTCATTCACTTATAGCTAAACTAAATGAGAAGATAGAACCAGTTTTACCTTCGAACTAGTGCTTTAGATATCTCTTATCCGGTTTTAGCTTGGATCATACTATTTGTCTGGCATTTCCTGCAGTACTTTCTAGGAATCCTATTACCAAAATTGGCAGTTCTCTTATGAACCCGAAATCTATTACAAAGGTGTTGATTCCTTCCATTTTTCATAAATTATTGAATTCAGTTTACCTTGATTACTCCTAAAGATTTTCCGATGACTCTTGGTTCCTGTTCTCTGCATCTCCAAGCTATTGAATCATCACTCAAGTGCTGCGTTGAATTAAAAGAGCTTCGACTTGCTCACAATGATATCAAGGTAAGTTCTTTTACACTATGACTTTCTGAGTATGCATGTTCTATTCATTTCAGCCTCTATGATGTATCAATTAAAAGAGCCTCTTGTTTAAGCTTCCAATTCGTTGATTAACAACTTATATCTCTTCTCCCACCCTCTGTTCATGTGTATGAATTGCCCAGAGTCTCCCGGTGGAGTTGTCTTACAATAAAAAACTTCAAAATTTGGATTTGGTAAATAACATAATCACTAGATGGTCAGAGTTGAAGGTTAGTAGTAGCAATTAGACTTAAATTCTTCTTTTCTGGTTCTATTTTTTTTCCCGTTGAAATGCATTCTCTGCATGTTTCATTGACAACAAACTACTAAACAGCAGGCACTGGATTCATTGATCAATCTGAAGAATCTCAACCTACAAGGAAATCCCATTGCTGAAAAAGATAAATTAACGAAGAAGGTAAGCTTAGCTTACATTCCCCCCCCCCCCCCAATGTTTTAAACATAATCGTGTTTTGGCCGTTTACATTTTTATTGCCTACATTATTCTTTCTTTATTTATTATAAGCCTTAGTCTCTTGACGTGATTTCTAAAACGACACTGCCGCAGGTTAAAAGGTTACTGCCTAACTTACAGATATTCAATGGTAGACCAATTGATAAAAGCGTGAAAAACAAAGATGGTGAGACCATTGACATTGCTTCCCATAGTATGGATTACACAGAGGATATTTACGTGGAGGACAAAAAGGGTCAGAAAAGAAAAAAGAACCTTGAATTTCAGGTGTCAGTTGAGAAACAATATGTTAATCATGATAATGCTCCTGATCTTGATACTGAGAAAGAATTGAAGAGGAAAAAGAAGAAAGGAAACGACAAAGTTTATGTTGATGAGGGGGATGATATTGTTGTTGAAAAGAAAGAAAAGAAAAAATCAAAGGGGGAAAAAGAAAATCTTAGTCGTCTTGATGCAGAGAAAAATATGACACAGAAAGGGAGGAAAACAAATGATAAGCACTCAAAAAAGGAAGTTTCTGTACACGAGGTTGGTATTGCAGGCGAAGAGAAACAGAAGAAGAAGAAAACGCTAGAGAAACTGGCTGAACTAGACATTATTGATGACTCCGGTGCCTTTTTCACCGAGCTATTCGCAACTGATGCTGCAGATCCAATAGAAGACGGTAAAAGGAAGATAGTTGATAGAGCCAGTCAAGAAATGAAATCGTCTGGTCACTCAGTTACCTACCCTGCCAAGAAGAAGAAAGGTAAACATGCCATGCTTGCCGGACTTCAGTTGTCCCCAACAATTGAAGTTGGAATGGGTGGTGCATCGACCTGGGATGACGAATGAATCAGATTATCTGCGGCGATTAATTTCGATCGTGACCCCTGAGGTATTTTTTTTTTTTTTTTCTATACTTTCTAATGCCTTGGGTGAATTTCAGTTTCGTTTATTATCTTGACAGTAGCTGTTTTAACCATATGAATTGTTATTTTCAAACTTGCACTTTCAGCTTCATCCTATAAGAATTTTGTCATTAAGCTCTGGAAAATGCAGTGCAGTATGATGTGTAAATGAACCGAGTTTGTCCGTTGTTCATATTTGTTATATTGCGTTTGGTGTGTGTGTTAAGAATTTTAAAGTTTGAATGACTAAAATTGTACATACCGATAATGTAGGGGACTAAAATTGTTTTTTTAAACCGGTGATCAAAATCAAGTGGATTAAAAATATAAGAGATCATCTTTATGGACATAAATGAATTAAACATTTCTTTGTTGTCAGTTTGTTTAATAAATGAATCTCACATGATAAAAGAGGAAAAAAAATTGTTCGTAGATTATTTATCCATATCCAACACTTACCTAATATAACTTTTTTCAAATGAATTATTTATTCATAATTTTTCAAATGCACATCAAAGAAAAAAGTACAACAGTTATCAAATGGTTTTATAACTTGTAAGATAACTTTGACTCACTGTCTTCCTTTTCCTCCGATGCCGAAGTGAAAGTAACTAGCTTCGCCGGATCGTCTCTCACGATCAAGCTGAACACTTCGGGTCTCGAATAATGCCCAACCGCATCAAAATCGAATTTTTGCCTGAGCTATTTCTCTGAGATCTGGGAGCCATTTAGTAGTCATCGTTATTTGGAGTTATTCACCAAAGAAAGTTTCAAGTCTTGAGTTCTTCACAAAATGCAATACGACCGGCCGAGAAGATCGGTCGTAAACAGTAATTCCGTATACAGACAAAAACATGGACATACTGTACAAATCTAGAATGGCTCCCCTTCATAATGGGGCCCTGCCAGAATAGCACCAGATGGTGATATTATGACACCCTCCAGCATAGACGACAGAATGTGGGGTGAGCTCGCCTTCGGTCCCGCGAAACATAAATTCTGGAGAAGGCGGGTAGTCGGCCCTACCACACATCCCTCGAGAGCAATATGTGTCATCGATGCTTGCCACACATCCCTGGAATCAGCATTAGGTGCACAGTATATTTCAATACCTGCAAACATTAAAAGCCTCTCAAAGTTAAGCTCAGCAAGCTCAAGAAGCCGGTTTACATAAGCATAGCTCATAGAACGGACGAGTTCGAGAATTACGATCACATTTCTAGGAGCTGAAACGTGACAATTCTCAAATTCGATATCAAGTTCTGCAAGACAAAACCTAGAAGTCGAACACGACTGGTTTCGGGCTAACACAGCAACTGATGTCTACTCCAAAGGAATTGAAAGTAGTAGTGAAGGTTAAAAAATCCAACCTTTTGCATACATTGCAGTCCTTAGAAGTGGCATTTCAAAAATCCAACCTTTTGCATACATTGCAGTCCTTAGAAGTGGCATTCTATTTTCCAAACAAATGGCCGCGCCTATTTTCCCGATCGGAGTCTCGAAAACCGGAATCGTCGACCCATCCCCGTGTCCCCAAATTAGACGCTCCAACGCCGTAGGCAAGATCTTCGGATGTTTCCTGAGGAACCGTCCTTGCGAATTGAAAAACAGAACCGTGCAATATAAGGTATATCTGTCTCTCTCGATCACTCCCGTCACCAAGTACACCTTATACTTTCCAGCCATGGCTGCCAAGCGCTCAACTTCAGGACCTACAATTAGCATGAGTCACATATATCCGACACTCGTATCGGACGAATATCTGAATATGATTCTAAAAATACACGGAAAAACTTTAAAAACCGAACACACCCATTCCGATACGAATCATATCTAACACTTGTACTCAAATCCGAATCCGAGTAACATAGCTGACTATTACATATGATCCAAATCATAGTTTATATCACAATCTAAAGCACAACATGTTCTCAAAGTTTCAAATATTTCAAGGGCAAAATTACCTATTAGCACCTCTTAGTTTTGAAATTGGATAAATTAATCCCTCTAAAAAAGATGAACAATTAATATAACCATTACAGATTTTAAAAGTGAGCAATTAAAGACAATGAGTCTACAAATCAATCGGTTTTCGTCGATTTTACATCATTTTACTTGATATAATATCAAATTTAATCCTTAATGTTTACAAATTATGTCAATTTGATCCAGATTCATATCGGGTACGTTAATGGCAGAAGCATGATACTTTCGGAACTGTTCCTTCCCTTTATGACTACGGTTCCCAATCGTAACACCGAAATTCGAACCAAGTGGATACCCTCCGACGAACGCTTCAGGGAACACCACCAGCTGAGATCCGTATTCCGCCGCTTCAGCCAACAACCTCTCCGCCTTATCTAGAGTGGCGGGAGTGTCGTAGAAAACGGTCGACGCTTGGACTAAGGTTGCTCGAACAGTGGCTGTGATGGCGGCAGAAGCGTCGCCATCCATGTCAACCTCCGCGAAGAGCGATCCGTTAGATCGAGGAGCCGGCACCAAAGACATTGTTTTCGATCGTGTGATTTGGAAAATGGAGTGAGATGGGGATTAAGTTGGGCATGGTCGGGGGTCAAGTCAACTGGTTGTGGGTATGGATTTAAATGTGATCTCGGTCGTAATTTTTATTATGTCGAGTTTATTGTGATTGCGATCGTAACAGACGATATTACAAATATAACAGATATATCCAAAATAGCGTTGCCGTTATTTTATAAACGCCATCGCGGTTACAAATCGATATTTAAAACTATGGTTGTGGGTTGCTCCGGATATGCCTGTCCGAAACCCAGCCGACAAGATAACTGTAATAATAGTGGCATAATCTTATATTTTAGTAAAGGGTAAACTACAATCACATACCATTGACTTTTTTATGTTTATGTCATTGAATTTTTTAAATTAAATTATACTTTTAATATTTAAATTATTAGTTTTAATCATGTTTAATACTTAATTTTTTTTAAATTATACATAATATTTAGTTTTTCGTTTTTACTTTAGTATCTTATCGTTAAAAATTTAATGGATGAGCTCGTCGACTGTCACGTCTACAATCTTCGGTAGTCACATCCGTCAACCAGTGTAGTTTATATTGTTTAAAAATTTACAAGCATAACTTTAATCATAAATCAAATTATAATTAGAACATTTTTTAATAATCATTGACACAAAAAATAACTACCTAAATAACACAAGTATAAAAAAAATGATAAAAAAACTTAATCAAAATAATAATGATCATCCACGTTAACTCCTTAACTCCATTGAAGTTTATATTGTTTATTTAATGGTTGAAATTTCTTTGTATAAATCAAACACTTAGCATACATTATCTATATGATTAGGAAATAAAATATGGCGGTCGAATTATTAAAATATAATTTATACAAAATATTGTTAAAACGTATAAAAAGACTATAATTTACACTACTATAAATGATTCTAATTTAAATATTTATATATGATTTGAATATCATAATGAATGCACATTCGTTTACCTATTCAAACTTTTCTTTTCAGATTTTGAATGAATGAGTTTGGACTTAGGCTAGATTAATCTTAGACCTGAATAATTGTGAATTCAAGCTTTTTTTTTAAATTTATATCTTTTAAAGTTAAATTTTCTCAAATTCAAATCAGCTCGAATTCTTATCCGCATAGATAAACTCAATGTTTTGTTAGCTCAATTGCCAAGGTCCCTTTGTGTCCCTTGGCCTAACCCCTCCTTAAACATGATCATGACATGCTGAAATTGTATTATGGGTAAATTACAAATTCAGTAACTAAACTTTATTCTCTATCCTATTCGTATTTTAAATCTTTTCAATTTACTCATTGAACTTAGTAATTGGATTTTTTGGTCACTCAGTCGTTTCATCACTAACAGTGTTATGATGTGTTTTTTGTTGTTAATAGAGGAGTGACCAAAAAAATCCAATGCATAAAGTTCAATGATTAAATTGATAATAACTAAAAGTACATTAAGTGAAATAGGAGATAAAATAAAGTTTAGTGATTAAACTTATAATTTATCCGTTAACAAATAAAATAAAAAAACCACATCATAACGTAGTTAGTGAGAAAACAGTCGAGTGATAAAAAAACTCCGAAATATTAAATTCAGTGAAGAAATTAAAAAAAAATCTAAATTACAATAAATGGAATAGGAGAGTAAATTTATATTTTACCCTTGTGTTATTATTGGATCGAATAGTATAATTTTGACTTTAATATGTTTAAAACTTTAAAAAATTCTACAGTTCTTGAAAGATTATATCATCATGTTTAAATTCAAAAATACATAGAGTATGAATACTTTAAAAAACCGAAACATCAGTAATAATACAATACAAAAAAACTATATCTATGACGCACGGATGGCAAGGAACTGATGGGGCAGTCACTCTCCTGAAATTTTTAAACTACTATATATTTTAGATTTTTTTTACGTATTTTTTATTGAAAATTTGTTTCCGCCCCTGAAATTTTATAAGTTCAAGTTCGTCTGAAATTTTAAAAGTTCAAGTTCATCCTTTAGATTTTTATAAATTCAAATTTATCCCCTAGAGTTTTAAAAATTTAAGTTTACCCTCTAACATAAAACTTTATGTTCATCTCTGATTCACGAATTCACATGCGTAGCCTTCTGGTCATGCATGCCTCAGAGTATATATATATATATATATGTTTCTTAAAAGCATTAAATTATACAAGTGCCGGATGAGATGTGCTTTAATTTTACTGAACTACTACAGAACTTGTACAAATACTTTTTTCTTGCACATGACTTGTTCGTTTTCTTATGTACTATCTTATTTGTTTAACAACTTTTAAAAATATGTATTCAATTTGTGCATTTGAATTTACTGCAACATAAATGTAAATTTGTAGTGGGGATTGGTTACTTTTACATTACACTTCAGGTGTGGTAAAATTTACTGTCAAATTCGTAAAATAACGTTAAATTTTATATATATATATATACACCCACATATATACATATAGAGAGCTAAACCATTGCAATTTGGTGCTCGAAGGTTTCCCCTTCCGAAGGTGAACTTTCTTTGTTCAGATTTTCTCTCATTTTCTTTGTTCATTTTTCATTTGATTGTTGCATCGATGTCTAAACAGGTGAAAGTACACGACAGTTAGTTCAAAAAATACAATGAGTCGAAGATCCGATAGTCCGGAGCCGGATTCGATGTTGAACTTAGCACCCGCTAGGGTGGCTAACCACCGTGTTAGGTCGCCAAGCGTATCGGTTCCTTCCTTTGAATCATTGTCAGAAAGCTCGTGTCTATCTTCCGAGCCCGACAACAATAACTGCGAGGATTCGACGTCGATGACGGAATACCCGACTGGTCGTCCGGAAGTAACATCGATGTTGCTGGTCGGGTGTCCTCGATGCTTCATGTACGTTATGCTGTCCGAGGTCGATCCCAAGTGCCCTCGATGTAAGAGTACCGTGTTCCTTGATTTTCTTAACGAAGAGAACGCCAAATGGACAAAGAACTAATCAGAAAGAAAGTGTAAGATTCTAAGTGCAAGATTCTTACTTTCTTTTTATTTCTCGTTTATGTAATGATACTGAAACTCGAAATTGAATAAAGTTTGTAAAAATTAAAATTTAAACTCTAAATTTCGATTTTCATTTCAGTAAATTATATGCTATGAACTCATTTAGTTATGGGATTAATAGTTCTTTAATGTACTCTTATTCTTCTTTCGTCATCTAAGTTATGTTTTTTCATGACTCAATAATTAAAGATCGTTGGATGAGAGAGATTAAATGTTAATATTAATTTTTATATTTTTTTCGTTGAACATCTTTTCATTTTTTACTGTTAATCTTAACCTTTGATTTTCAGCCTTACCATGATATAAGACTTTTAATTTTAGACCAGTTATATATATCGCTCCAGTAGATAATATTTTTACCGTAAATCTAACTTAAGTATAATATAAATCATAATTACAAGAAATATATATTTGAATAAATTATCATCATAATGTATTCGTTATAAAGCACATGAATAATAACTGGAACATATCCATAGCCAATTTGGGAATGCTTTTGATAATGGAAAAATGATTTTTATCCATAAGTAATGTTAAACATTCAACTTCAAAAGTTTAAATTTTTAATATTTAAGGTAAATAATCATTTTTATGTAAAATTATATTTTTATCCTCGATTATTATTTAGTTTTAATTAATTTTCAAATTAATACACATACATGTATTGAAATTGATATCGAAAATGATATTATTTATTATTTATTATTTATTTTTATTAATATTGAAATTGATTGTTAGACATAAATTGATAGAACTTAAAATAATTTCTTTACTTGAAGTATATATATTATTTTTTGTCAAAAATAAATATCTAAATTATTATTTTATAATAATTTTAAGTCCACGTGTTAAAAAGTATTGATAGCATATTTTTATTAATAAAATATTTCATATATAAAAATATTATTACTGAGTTATCATAAAATATTTTTTATATTTTTATTATAGCTTAAGTTGATATGTTTTCAAAGTAGCATATGTTCTAAATACTGTCAACCATTTGACAATGAACATTCAATCATCCTGCTGCATTCATTGATGCTCGAACCCCTCTATGAATAACAACGATTTCTTTAACCACTTAGGTAAGTGTAAATATAATTTAAATAATATATTTTCAATTTATAACATGATGTTTAAACTTAACAATTTATATTTTCAAAATTAGTTTTTTAATCGTAATCTCAAACAATTAAATTTTAAATTATGTTATTTTAAAAATTTTAACAACATTTTTAAAATTATTTTCAAAAATAATATCAAAGTGGCCCTAAATTCGGAAAAGACACATAAAATGAATTTTAAAATCTAGAGAAAACTCACATTGTTTAATAACTAAAATGATATTTATTTGAATTCAATTGTAAAATTATATAATTTTAAAAATATTTTAATACCGAATAGTGAAATGAATCAGTAAATCAATTTAAATTTAATAGTATTTTTTATTAGTTTATGATAAGTACAAGATTATATATGTTTAAAAACTTTCAATCACTTGATATTGAAAATGTATATTCTTATCTAGGATGCATACATAGTGCTCGAATCTAAAATCATAAAAATAATAATAGCTCTTAAAAACTTGAGGTCATTTAGTTTGTAGATTAATATTTCTTCTAAATGTTCTCTTAATTTTATTAAAAAAATAAAATAAGTTAGAGAAACATAAGCACCATATAACAAGATTTATCATCCTTATAATAAATATTTATAATATCTAATTTAGATTAATTTATTAATAAATTAAATATCATGTGATTATAAAAAGGTAAAATGATAACTTTTGTTCCATAGTAGACTTAATTTATCACTTTCGCCTCTATCGTATTTTCGCATCGATTTAACCCTAAAATTTCTCAATTGTATCATTTTATATCTTATCTCTTACTTAAAACCTTAAATCCTAAAGTCTAAACTCACAACTCTAAAATATAAACTCTAAACCCTAACTTGAAATTTATATTTTAGGGTTTGACTTAGAGTAAAGTATAGAGCGATGCAAGTAAACAATTTTGATGACTAAATTGATATAAAAATACGATAATAATAAAAATAATAAATTGAATATATTAAAGAGAGAAATGTAAACATTAAACCTTGTAAAAAATTCATTAGTTAAATAGTATTTAACCATCCGAGGTTGGGTCAACGTCTTGACATTTTATATTGAAAGATCATTACATAGATTTCAATGCACCCAACTGTCGTAAAAGTATAGCTCAACTACTTTTTAATATAATAATAAATCACAAGTATAATTTTATTATGCGACTGTCTAATTTAAAATTAATTTATGGTAAAGTTTAATTAATAATAATTTTAGTTATAATTAACAATATTATATTATAGTAGATTTTAACCTTGTATGTTACAAATTTATTTTAAAATATTATACAATTAATAATAATTTCGGTTATAATCGATGTAACTTTTTAAGTTGAATAGTTATAAAATTTATATAATTTATTATCTAAAATATAATATTTTCATTTTCAACCTAAAATGTTACCTCAACTACTCTAAATATTATGTTTTGACAATTTTTTTAATTACAAACTATTTCTATCTTTTTCTTATTGTTACGATTTCTAGTTTTTTTAATCTTATATTAACCCATTAATTTTAGACTCGTCCTAATCCATATATTTATATGGTATTCATAATTTTCTTTTTATACAGTCAAATAATTATAATGCTTTGGTTTAATATAAATCTGTATTATAAAATGATTTTATTTTTAAAAGACTACAATTAAATTATTGGAAATCCGAGGGGAATAAATTTGTTATTATGTAATTCCTATTTGTCCCTAGCTAAGGGATAGGCATGGGTTAAGCCAGATTTTCGTTTTATCCTAAATTAATTCGAGTATTATATTTTTTTTATCAATTATTTAATTTAATTTAGGTTTACATAGATTTCATTTCACCTGTTTTCAGAATAAAAATTTACACCCTATTGACTTAACACACATAAAGAATCATCTTTTTTGATAAAATATAAATATAATTAAATAATTATAAAAATATTATTTTAATTATCTTTAAATATTTAAGAGATAATTATATTATTATCTCGAATCAAATTAAATATTTTTCACCATAAAATTTAAATCAATTTAATTAGAATGTATCTGCTTTTTTTAAAAGAGATAATTGTATATACACGTCATTATGCACACGTATTGCACATGCATGGGAATATAAATACACGTATTGCATAAAGGCTAGGAACCCACACTGGGCAGTGTATTTAACGATGCCATAAATAAGTGAGAGAGGACGATATATAAGACAACTTAAAATTTATAAAAGATTATTATTTGAAATTTTATTTACGGTTAAATTAAACCATTAACCATCTAACTGTTATTTTTGTATATAATTTTTACCATATTTTTTAAATTGATAATAATTTTTGTATAAAATTTTAGTATTGTAAAATTAGAGATAAATATTTGATCTGAATTTAACATATTTTTATTGAATCTAGTCCGATAATAATAGTATTTTTTTACTTTTATATATTTAAGAACAATTGTCATAATAGTCCCTCTTTATATATTCCGTCAATTAATTCTCTATTTTACCTAATAAAAATAAGAATTAATTATGTGTGTATCAGGTTGGGTTAGAATGCATATTTTTAACTTAGAAAACATAACCAAATTTTGGATTGGATAAATCTTCTCTAAACCCAAATCAGATCGAGTACGATGTAGGAGTGTTATGCTCGGATATGCTTCTGATGAACGAAAAACCATGATCTAACATATGATTATTTATATACAAAATTATATCATCAAAAGAAGATATAAAACATATTTAAACTATGCCATAATTTAAAACTTTCAAGAGTATGTCCATTCTTAATACCCTCTCAGTCAATTTTTACGTTTACGTGAGAATATGATGATGACAGTGGAGAAGAGCAGAAGAAAAAAAAACTAATTGAGCATATTTAAGGTATATTGATTAACACGAATTAAATGATTTAGTGGTTGAAAAGGTGATCGTTATCTTTAAAAAATTTAAATTCGAGTACTAACAAATGTAAAATATTTAAGTGTTGATTGTCAAATAATTAAGAATTCTTAAAATAGATAATATCACTCATAATATTAACTAAAAAAAGGCATATTCATTTATTATTGTTTCAGCTAGAAAAGGTTAGGTTTATGGCAGTGACTGATGCAGACATAGCATTGTTGTTGGAGACAAGTGCGGCTACGCCAGCGGAGTTGCGACCAATTAACACCACAGGACAGCTCATGGTGTGGTCACGCAATTAATACGAAAAATTAATACGAATACGAACACAAACATAAAAAGAAATTGTATAGAGTTTGTAAAAATAAAAAAATAAATCATATAGAGTTAAAGGATAGTTATACAATGAAAATGTGAAACCCCTTAAAAAAAAACTTTGAACAATATGTAGATACGAAAAGATCATACCACTACGATAAACGAACAATAACAAGGGATTAAATTATTAAAATACTACTGATAAACGTAAATTAAAGTCAAATATTATGAGAAAATCATTTATAAACATAAGTTGCATATCTAAATCTAATTCGACAGTCCATAACATAAAAATTTAACAAAATAATAAATGAATGTTATCTTAATTTATTCTGACCACGTTAAATTTAACCCTAAAAATAGATTTGATGAGGTATTTGATCGATGCGAGAATTTGCCATTACCGAAGGACAAAATATGTTATTGTTTTGATAGTGATAGAGTTAGTGATGGTTTTTTATCATAGATAAGATAAAAAAATCATATATTTATATTATTTGATGTTATAAACGAGTAAACGATTGTAAAAAGAAAAACACATAAATTTACGTAACAAAGCTTTAAAATAAAAAATAAAGAGCATAATAAAATTAAGTTAAATTATGTATTTAGTACTTAAAATTTCATTTTTGATATATTTTAATATCTATTTTTTCAGTTTTTATAAAATTATATCTAAATTTTTTTTTTCATTTTAGTACATATAGTGACATATGATGATTTTTTCATTATTTTTTAAATTGT